TGATTAATTAAGAATAAAAATAAGCGTCAAAATTTAAGTGTAAAATAAACTTGATATCTTTAGATAATGTTGTAGTCATTGAAACAAGGTTTCCGGAGATATAAAGAATGCCGAAATCCAAGTTATAACGAGGAAGTTATGAGCTGTCGAAGTTTTGCGACAGAACCGGCAACGCTGAATAGCGTAAAAAGTGAAATTTACGTTAAAGCGATATTTAGACTTAGTGATCTAAACGAGAATCGAAGATATCGTTGTTAGTATCAAAGTGATAAAAAGTTAGGCAAGAACGGACGTCAAACGAAGAAGTTATGAATTTATAACGAAAGTTTCTGTCCCGGCCTATTAAAAATAAATAATAAAAATAAATTCAAAATTAGCCGACGGAGTCTAAACGAAAGTCGTAGAGCGTAGTCTCACCTTTCCGTGGATATAAAGAACGTCGAAAACGGAGTATGTATGAAGAAGATATGAATTTCCGAAGTTTATTAATTAATTTGTATTTATTTTTAAATCAAAATTCGGAAGCATTATCCGAAGGCGAGTCACAGGTCTGATCCGACTTACGCGCCGCGTAAGTGAGTATGCCCCGCGTACTCCGAAGAGTGTTGACACTTCGGATGACGCATGCGCTTACGTTTCTGAGGCACGTACGCCCCGCGTACGAGGAGCTCCCAGCCTCCTAAAAATAGGATGCGAGGGTTCCGGGTTTATTTGCTAATTTCCTCTCGTTTTTGTGCTGAAGCTCTGCGGTTTTACCCCCGAAGCCATCCCGAAGCCCCGGTAATATTCCTGAGTCCCGAAGCGAGTCCCGAGATCCCGAAGATCCCGAGAAGTGCGGTTTCTGAGCCGAAGCTCTGCCCGCGAGAAGTTCGATTTTCGTAGAGATCTTCCAGATCTGCGGAGGATTATTACTTTTGCGAGTCGTAGTGCTGTCCGATCATCTTCTGATCAAGTGAGTGTATACTACCTTTCATAAACACAATAATAATACAATTATGGTTCGAGGGTATTAAGTTTATTGTCGTTTATACGTATGAATGCGTTGTTACTTTCTCATAACGTATAACTATGAAGTATTTCATACGAGATACGTGTTATGTGTATATTTTGTTGTTATGTGTGTGAATGTATATTCACTTTCTTCTATCTTACAGATATGATTATTTCTATATGAAATACGTGTTATGTGCGTGTGCCTCATCTGTTATATGGAAAATGTTTTGATCAAGCATGCTATACAGGTTTTGAAAATATGTATAAAATGTATGTTTTTTTATCTACTAATATGTTAGGTAGAACATGGGTAGATAGTTGGTGTGTAATAAACAGATGAGAGGCCTCGTTGTTGTTTGATCCAGTCATCTAGCGGAATTTAGATGACGACCACAGACTTTTCTAGATAGTCATGTGGAACGCTAGCAGGTTCATAACCTGTAGGTGTTAATGAACTTGGGTGTTCATTCGTTGTATTCCATCCCCCTTATGGTTGCCTTATTTGACTTATATTGCTGAGGAAACCCCGCAACATGTGTTGTCACCCCAATGAAAATATTCTTAGATTAGGTCCCTTGTGTTAGTTATTTTAGGGACGTAAAGTGAGAATAACGGGAATGGGTAACTGGGTTATTGTTGGTTGATAATAATTAATTTAATTATTTATTGTGGGTTGAAAACCCTATATGCTCACCAGGCTCCCAAGCCTGACCCACTCAGTTTTATTTGTATTACAGGAAGTGGCGCAAGGGCGTAAGATGGATGAACCATAAAGTTGTTTTGTTTACAAGTCTACATATGTTTATATTTGTTATATGACTTGTAATGTATTCGTTTATGCTTATTGGTCTGTATCGGAACATGACACCCCGAGTTTTGATTATAATGAAAATACATTTCTTTTATGAAATGCTTCGGTAAACATTGTTTTATCATGTTTTGTTTTTGGGAACAAATTCTGCAACTCTTTCAAATCAAAAGGATTTACTCTAAATTTATTTTAAAAGCATAAATGAAAATCGGTCTTTTCTGGCCGAGATTTTGGGGATGTCACAAGTGTGGGCCAGGTCTCGTATCTCACCAATAGTAGAGTGTGGATGGGGTTCCACATCTCATTAGTAGCAGAACAGGGGCAAGGCCCAAGTTAGGGAAGGAGTGAGAGTGGGTTGGGCCCGTATCTCACTACCAGTAGGAGTGTGGATGGGGTTCCATGACTCATCAGTAGCAGGACAAGGGCGAGGCCCAGGATAGGCGAGGCCTTAGGACAGGATCAGTCGTATGAGTTTAGCTTATGTGTTGTGATATGTTTATGTGTTATTATTTGTTGGCGGGCGAGGCCCTGTGACAGGCGAGGCCTAAGTGAAACAGATCTGTATCCGAGCGGGGCTCGAAGCCAGGCGAGGCCTGGAGCGACGGGGTCGTTGTATTGGGCGAGGCCCAAGATAGCGGGCGTGGCCCAGTATATGTTGTATGTGATTATACATGGTATGTGGTAGGGTAGGGAACTCACTAAGCTTCGTGCTTACGGTTTTCGGTTTTGGTTTTAGGTACTTCCGGTAGCAGAGGGAAGAGCTCGGGGTGATCGCATGGCACACACCATTGATTAGACAGCCTGAGAATGTTTTACTCTAATAACGAACATGTGTTTTGGAAATTAATACTCTGTTTATGTTGTGGATTAATGATTTTGCTTTGAGTAAAGTTTTAGTAAAAGAAATTTTTGGTCTTTAATTTTGGGTCGTTACAATTACGGTCAACAAAGGAAGACTACGGTTAACACCCGTTGACTACTCTTTTCACTTAATGGGCTACTGTTTCAAGGGGCCGTTTACTTTTTCGTGACCCATTAGCCCAAAGTATATAATGAAAAAAAATTCAGATTAGGTCATTTTCCTATTGTTTTCTTTTGTTAGGCTACGTTTTTCTCTCAATAGAGCACCCGAAGAACAATCAGGTTTGTCTACTTTTCTTAAAATTTTTACCGTGTTTGTGATTAGAAGTAGGTTTTGTTTATGGGGATAAATTTTTTTTGAAAAAAATTGAAAAAAAAATATAAAACCGTAGGTTTCATATGAAACCTACGGTGTACAAGTGCCCAATGCACTGTTTGTGCAGTTTCGACTTGTATACCGTAGGTTTCATATGAAACCATACGAACGTTTTTTTTTTTCGTTTTTTTAAATATGGTATCAATAGAATAGGAATTGGATGTATTTTGTTGTGGTATAATTTTTTTTATAAAAAAATAAAAAAAGGAAACTGCAGGTTTTTTTAGAAACCTACGGTGTACAAGTATTTACTGTACAGTTTATGCAGTAAACACTTGTACACCGTAGGTTTCACAAAAAAACCTTTTTTTTTTTTTTAATTTTTTATTTTTATAAAAAAAATTTAATAGCCAATAAACATTTGTATCCCCTTGTATGTATCTAATGATTTTTTTTTGGAAAAAAAAATTGCAGGTTTCCTAAAATGTATGGTTATATATATATATATATATATATATATATACATATATATATATACATATATATATATATATATATATATATATATTTATTTATTTATTTATTTATTTATTTATTTTCAGTTTTAAAAAAAATTGTTTAAACGTATTTGTAACGATTGTATCCTCTTGTATGTATCTTATAATTCAATGTTTTGCATGTTGTTAAAAATGATGTTATTTTCTATGTCTCAATTATAGCATACAATAGAAATGTAGTATCTATTTGAAGAAGTTTTTATGTTTATAATGTGTAGATACTTTGTATTATACTGTATTGATAAAATAACATTGTGTTTTGGTAGTTTCGGGTTTGTTATAAAATATGTTATTGTCACACCATTTTTAAAGTACAATACTATTTTTTGTATACAAGTAGTATATAAAAGACAAATTTTTGTGTAAAATAATTTACTTTGGTATTTTATAGAAAGTAAATAGATTATATGAAATGTATAACTGTTTTATTGTGTGATACTCCAACACTGTTTTTTTTATTTATAAAACCTTATTTAACTTTATTTATTATTTATTTTGTAGCTTCCTAACAAAAAGATGACATGCAATATATGTGTGAAAGCTTCATGTCACAAGTTGCCTGAAGTTTTGAGTCGGTTGAATGGGCCGGTTTGAGAGATATTTTCAAGGACTAGCTTTGGTTACCTCTTGGATCTACCGGCTCAGTTCAGAGACGGACTACTTATTGATGACCTACTACTTCATATGTTGCGTCCAACCCCTGAAAGTGATGCAGCTGAGCGTCTACATTTCATGTTTTCTAGACGTTCTTTATCATTTGGGCCGAAAGAGTTTTGTATTGTCTCGGGACTTTACATGGGCCGTTTTCCTACTTCAAGGATCGAATTTTCAACCATGTATAATCACGGATACGGTGATAATACATTTCAGTCCAGAGTCTTCCCGTATCGCACAGACACTACGTTACTTTTAGAAGATTTAGAGCTACTTATCTTGAACCGACAGTTCAATGAGATATCGGCTCACGATGTTGTCCGTGCGATTTAGCTATATATCGTCAATCAAGGTTTTTTGGGAAAAGAACCCAAAGACAAAGTCACGAAGGAATTTCTGTGGGTGGTGGAGAACCTGGATGAATGGAACAGGTATTTATCAATTTAATATTATAAAAATACTATTTTTATATGTTTAACTAATAGTTTTGCATATAATATAGGTTCTCGTGGGGGAGTTACCTATGGAGTAAAACATACCCTAGATTGTCAGGTATCTATAAGAAATTTGAGAATCATATGTCCAAATATCCCACAAAACCTTGTGTGTATACACTATCCAGTTTTGTTATTCTGTTGAAGGTAAAATTATAATTTTAAATTTTTTGGTTTTTATTTTTTCATAATCCCTGTTAGTTATTGCTAACTCTTATATATTAATGTATATTTATTACAAGATATGGATATGTGAGATGTTCCCTCTAGCTCGGGGGAATGCTGCGTTACGACGAAACAATTAATATCCTCGTATGTTGCGGTGGTTTCACCTTAGGAGGTTAACATGCGAGAAAGTTTTCGATCTTTTTGACGTTGACCAAGACGAGGCACATCAACCGAAAAGAAAGATGATTGCCTCAGATGTCGAGTCATCTACTCCACATTACTTGACATATATTTCTAGTCTGAATCCTGAATCGCCAGAAGTCCCTTCTTCTGTACGCTACAACTTTAGAAAAGATGTAACTAAAAATACTAAAAGTAGTATCTAGTATATTAAAAATTTCAACTATTATTGATATATAAAAACTTTATGTAGGGAACATCTTCATCTGATCCATCCTGTGGAAATAACCGATCTACCCAGTCCACCGAAGAAACTCATACGGTGGGAATTAATAGGAGAACAGTCCAAGAAATAATGGCAAGACTTCAAAGCTTGGAGGAAGAAATCCGAGGAATAAAATGTAAAGAGGGATTTGAAAAACGGGATGACAATAATGAATTTTTTGACGCAGCGTTTGGGGTAAAATAATTCATTTTATAAATTTACTATTAATTCTTAACGAAGGTTTCGAGGTAAAATAATTATTTCTTAAATTATTATTCGTTTAAATGTAGGGGAATGAAGATGTGGGAGGTAGTTATCGGATGACAAGCCCGGTGAATGAACAAGTAGTCCACCGAATTCAAATCGAGTAAACGAGGATGATGATGTTGGTCGTAGAAAACAAAAAAAAAAACCTGTGAAGGAGGTTATAATTTTTTATTTTGTATATTAATTTTTATATTTTTTCAGAGTATATTAAATAAATTAATATGTATTTTGTAGAAGAAGAAAAAGAAGATTGTTGCTAGCAACATCGTGGATGCGGAAAATCATATACCCGTGCCTCCTGTTGCAAAACCAGGTCGTCCGGTTAGGGCATTGAAACCTTCTCAATATCTTAGATATCCATATGTTTTTGTAAGTTTATTTAAAAGTATATTTACTATAATTTTTTTAACTATATGGATACTTATTTACTATGTGTATACTGTAGGTTCAAAATGCTCCCCGATATCGTCCGAGTGGGGTAATACGCAATAACCCCCCCCCCCCCCCCCCGTTTCTTTTATCGATCCCCCGACACTTTTATTAGAGCCGTATGTCATTCCTGGATGTGCCGCCCCTTCATTATACATGTGGGAAACAAACCGGCTGTTTATTTGAAACATTGGTTGTACAGTGAAAGGATCGAAGCAAGGTTTTGGGATCTCCTTTTTTATTCAATTGACTTGGGATATTTAGATGAAGCGGTATGAAGACATTTGTTTATATTTAAATTTTAAATAATTGATAACGTCCGTATGTTTGAATTAGATTTAAATGCAACATGTTGACTTATGGGGAAGGCTTTTGAATGAGTGGAGACCGAACGATGCTTGATGGACAATCATGCCATCTTCATTTTTTGTTGCATTTGAGACGTTCGAGTGGGTAGGAAGTGCATTGGGACATTCGTTTGACCCGTTAGATGGATGTAAATCTGGGTTAGAAGTTGACCGTGTAAGTAAACAAATATTATTGATTAATCACTTAAATTTTGATATTACACTAATTAAACGTTGTAACTAATCCCAACGGTTGTGTGGTAAAACTGGTTTATTTTCCAATTTGTATAAACCCACATCATTGGGTACTTGGGGAGTTATGGATGGACACGCTGTCGTTGAATTTGTATGACAACCTGCGATCTTTTCGCACCGTCACCATGATTGATTTTGTGCGGTTTGAAGATCTTGTAGACCGCATTCTTGTTGACATTTATTATTGGAATCACATGGGTTTGCTTGTTCAGAAAGCATCCATTACTGTTGCGGATGTTACGGACATGCCCAACAGAAAGGGATGTTTGGAGAGTGCGGTGACTTTATGTTGATGTTCATGGAGTAGCTTGTTTGTGGACGGGCGATTGGTATATTGATGACACGTATTTTTGCGACTGCTAACTTTCGCAATTGGATGGGCATGGTATACTATGGATCAGTTGCAAAGGTGATTTTGTAGTTAGTTTGATTAGTAATTTTTTAGTAACAAATTATGTGTAATGTTTCATGTCGAAAGATAAAGTTGTATTTTGGTTTATGTTATCAAAATGTCCTGTTATACTGAAACATAAAGAATGGAAATCTGCGAAAAGTCCCAATATTTTAGGTCAGTTTACGATTTATTCCCAAATTAAATTTTGTTTACAAAAAAGGACAACTTACCAGCTAAAATTTCGGATTAACCCTTCGTGGCCGGTTTCACAGATTTAGCCGGTATCTCGTTTTTTTCCGTTAATTAATCCAAATTTTGGGGCTTTTTTATTAATTAATCAAAATTTTAGGGCTTTTTCATTATTTATTACAAATAAACAAAAATATTTGGACTTTTCTGAAGATTACCTTTAAACTAATATATATATATATATATATATATATATATATATATATATATATATATATATATATCTAATTTAATATGTAGTATTGCATGTCTTCTTTTTTATCCTCTTCTAGGCTCACCGTGTGTTTTTATCGGTGTCGTCAAACCCAACAACAAAAATTTCACTCACAAGCCTCGTTAACTCCATCAAATTTCCAAAATTATCCATTCACAACTCTGTGATCATCTTTCAATCTCCAAATAAAGAACGGAGAAAATCCTTGTTGATTACGTGGATGTCCTTATTACCTAACCATGACTTAAACTGTGGTTCCAACACGTGGATGTTCCTATTACCTAACCATGACTTGAACCCATACACTAATGGCGTTTTCCATAGTGTTGTTAACAATAGAACAGAATCTCACATGTTCAACCACTGATACATTGGTTCAAGTCTTACATGACCCTTGTTTCCTTACAACACTATAGAAGCCCCAACGTAAGATGAATCCCACATGGTTCGTCATTTATTGGTTTTTTTTTGTCAAAAAGTAAAGCATTTTGGAAGCCCCAAATAGACTAAAACGTAATAATGACAATTATTGTAATATAACACCAATTGTCATTATGACTTAAACGTAACATCACAACAATTGTCATTATTACATTTTAGTTTATATGGGGCTTCCAGAATGCATTAGTTTTTGGCAAGACAAAAACCAATAAATGATGAACTTTTTGATAAAGATCGGAACACAATCTTATTGATGGATCCAAGATCTCCTTCTCGTCCTAAGCCTTTTTCTCCTCAATCTTCTTCCAAAATATGCACTATAATATGCAATATTAGCCCCTTTTTCTCTCCTACAAGCATATAGCTCAATTAGGGTTTTTCTCAGAGTGTTAAGATGATAAGGTATGCGGAAATGAAGGCTTAAGGTCCTTTAAATAGGACACAAACGCTGAAAATTAGGGTTTTCACACTTAGCTCTTACTCGTCGAGTAGACTCTAGAAATTACGCGACCATTAACACTCTCTACTCGGCGAGTTGGGGCCTCCAACTCGTCAAGTTGATCAGGAAACAAGAATATAAATTAATTAAATATTATACCTGGGAGTCGAGATGTTACACCTATTGTAAGGAAACAAGGGTCAAGTAAGGCTTGAGCCAAGGTATCAATGGTTAAGCCATGTGGGATTCATATTTTGTTGTTAACAAAACTATGGACAATGCCATTAGTGTATGGGTTCGAAATAAGGTTCGAGTCATGGTTAGGTAATAGGAACATCCGAGTGTTGGAACCTTAGCTCGTAGGTATACCAAATTAATATTTTAATAGTTTATGATGGATAGCTTGTTGACATATTTTTTACAATTAGAGTTAACATTCTTCATGGTTTTCAGTACATAATATCGAGTTGATTTTTTTACCTATGTTGAGTTTTTTAAGCTTAATGGTTCATTCTTCATGGTTTTCAAGCCCTATTGTAAGGAAACAAGGGTCATGTAAGACTTGAGCCATGGTATCAGTGGTTAAACCATGTGGGATTCGTATTTTGTTGTGAACAACACTATGGACAATGCGAATAGTGTATGGGTTCGAAATAGGATTCAAGTCATGGTTAGGTAATAGGAACATCAAAGTGTTGGAACCGCGGTTTAAGTCATGGTTAGGTAATAGGGACATCCACGTAATCAACAAGGATTTTCTCCGCTCTTTATTTGGAGATTGAAAGATGATCATAGAGTTATGAATGAATAATTTTGGAAAATCGATGGAGTTAATGAGGCTTGTGAGTGAGATTTTTGTTGTTGGGTTTGACGACACCGATAAAAACACACGGTGAGCCTAGAAGAGCATAAGAAAGAAGACATGGAATAGTACATATTAAATTAGATCATATAATATATATTAGTTTAAAGGTAATCTTCAGAAAAGTCCAAATATTTTTGTTTATTGGTAATAAATAATGAAAAAGCCCTAAAATTTTGATTAATTAATGAAAAAGCCCCAAAATTTGGATTAATTAACGAAAAAAGATGAGATACCGGCTAAATCTATGAAACCAGCCACGAAGGGTTAATCCGAAGTTTTAGCTTGTAATCTGTCTTTTCTGTAAACAAAATTTAATTTGGGACTAAATCGTAAATGACCTAAAATATTGGGACTTTTTCGCAGATTTCCCACATAAAGAAAGTATCATATCGAGAGAAAATTACATATTATATAGATTAGTCATAATAAACAAGCAAATATAATACAATACATATTACATACATAAACTCATAAATAATGCATAAACTTACAAGTTGATTAATCAAGAATTATCAAATTCAAACATTTTGAAAATCATTTGGAAAATTTTCTTTTTCTTGAATCACCCGGTCGTATTTTTTTTGTATGTTCTTGAGAATCTTTTCCATCTTAACCTCTTTTTTGTTGGCGTAGTCTGTTGCATCTTGTACCTAAACCCGTGCAATTTTAATGTCGCGTTCTTTATCTTGGATCGACCTCATTTTAGACCAGATATCGGCTTGTAACTTATCCAATCGTTTCCTATCTTCTTCAATGCCTTTAATCTCGTTCTTAATCTCTTCTTCTTTTATTAATAGTTGTGATCGCTTCTCTTGTGGCATCAACCACCATTTTTCTTGAGAGGTGGACATCAGTTTATGTAATTGAGGTTTATAGAATACATATAAGTCTATATATAAAATTATCAATTTAACCACTTTTTTATAGGTGTTGACTACTGTAAAATAGCTTATGACTACTATATTATGTGTTGTCACATCCTACCAAAACATTATTGTACTTTGACTACAGTCTTATAGGATTTTACTATTGTCTACTAGCCATTGACTACTATGTTATATTTAGTCTTATCGAACAGTGAATATTCGACACATGATTTTTATTTGACTACTTTTTTATAGGTTTTGACTACTGTCTAATAGCATTTGACTATTAGTTGATTTGATTGACTACTTTTTATAGGTTATGACTACTATCTTCTAGCCGTTGACTGTTATCTTGTGTTATATTTAATGTGGATTTGTTATCAATTTAGAAATGAAAGAAACAATAACAAAAAAATTGAAGTGTAAAAATGACCGAAAGATCAGAGGAGATGAGAAGGATCTTGGCAAAATTTAATTGGCCATCAACGTCCAACAATAAGCCTCCTTTGGGGACAAGTTCCCATAACGTGTCAACCAATCCCCCCCCCCCCCCAACGTTGATACTCCTATTGTAAGAGAGAAGATGGATGAGGAAGTGAAAAAATTGTTGTTACAAAGAGAAGCTGAAGTGGATAAGGCTTTTAAAGATTATCGTCTCCAAAGAGACCTTCTAGACATCTATTGTGATGACATTGATCGTAAAAAGAATTGGATTATAAATACGAGGCAAGAAATCCAATCTACCGAGAGTTCGATCCATTCCAGTGAAGAAAATTTGCGAAAGCTTAAGAGTGAATTAGCACTTCGTGAGTACTATTTGGAGAAAATAAAGGAAGTCATTGCTATGAAAAAAGAGTATCCGTATGAGTTTCCGATGTGGGAAGAAGATGAGTAGTATTTTAATAATGTTGTTGCTTGTTGTAGTAATATAAAGGTAGTATATGTCCAAGTATATCTTTCATTTTTAATTTTAAGGTAGTATATCTGCAATTATGTTTTTTTATTAGTGGTTGGTTAGGAGCTGCAAAATCTGTAATAGTTCCTGGTTTACATATGTTTAGTAATCTAATTATGTTAATGTCAACTTTGTTTTATCAAATACTCAATGAAATGGTTATGTCTTCTATTTTTGACTTTTTTATTTGTAAACAACATGTGTTGTATAGTCGAATGAATTAAGAATAAATATATATTACAACATGTATAGTACACAAGCAATATAGAAAATTAAGACAACAAATGCTCATACATGCAAACAAAAACCATTACAATTAAAAACATACATTACTACATCTTACGTACTTCTACTACTTAGTGGTACATACAGGCTGCATAATCGAGATTTAGACTACAACTTATACACAAAAACACCAAAAAAGAAAATCCAACTACAAAGTAACGTTATCTTCAAGTGTAGTACTTTGCTTTGAAGCTTCTTCGTTGATCGAGCTAAGTTAGCGACTATCAACGAATTATTGTCTTTTGCTTCATCCAGCCAACAAATAAACCCAGACTATGGTGGCTGATAAATAAATATCAAAAACATTATGTGTAATCTCTAAATATTCAATCATAAATAACAATATATATATATATATATATATATATATATATATATATATATATATATATTATTAAGTGATAACGCAAATACCTCTTTAGGACAAGCGTAAAATAGCCATCCCGGGTTGTTTGAAGTCCTTGATGTCCTTATAATACCTTGAGCCCCACAACTGCAATTTGCCATTTTCATTGGTTACTGAAATGGAATTTTTATTAGTATGGTCAGGTAAATATCTTCATTTATATAGTGCCATTAAGCTACATATTTGGACACATGATTGTAGCTTGACTACTGTCTTATAGGTTCGGACTATTATCGTTTAGCATTTGACTACTATTTTACGTGTTGTCTTATCGAATAGTGAATTTCGGACACAGGATTGTAGGTTGACTACTGTCCACTTGCAGTTGACTACTAGTTTATGTGTTGTCTAATCTAACTATTAATTTCTGACACAGGATTGTAGCTTGACTACTGTGTTATATGTATTGACTACTGTCTACCACCATTTGACTACTACTTTAGTTTTCGAATACTACTTCGATTCTATAAAAAGGTTTTGAAATAATTTAAATCATCGTTATTGATATATTTTACAAAGGTTCCTATTCACCGCCCTAACGTTAAACATGAGTTTCTCATACAATGACTATGAAGACAACTTTACCAACTTGCCTATTTACCTCCACAACATTTAGCGTGCAAATCCCCACAGTTACACATACATCAAAATCGATGTTATGGATCAGTTCGAACTATGTTTTGTTGCTATTGGATGTGTGGCAATGTAGTATCGATTTGTTTATTATTTTGCTAAACCATTTTAGATTAGTCTAAAAACTAATAATTATGTTATATAAAATTTGAAATAGATCAACGCATTTATAGGATGCATGCTTCCGGTCATCTTCATAAGCAGTATCCGTATTAGAGGAGAGTATCTTAATACAATGTTCATAGTAGTTGCTATTGATGGAAACAACAATACTACGCCAATAGCATTTGGTGTTGGGGTGGCAAATAGTGTTAACTCCTACACTTGGTTCCTTATGAGGTGGAAGGATGCTATCGGAGCGGGTACGGAAGTTGCGCTCATAACCAACATGGGCGATACCATTGCTTCTTGCATTGGTCAAGTATTCCCTGATGCTTACCATGGTTATTCGTCTAACATTGTTTTAAATTATTTCCGATTAAGAATTGGTCAAAGCAGAAATTTAGACTACTTGTTCTTCCGTGTATGCAAAGTATATACCACGCAAGACTTTAAATAAACATTTTCTAAGTTAAGTCATGGTGCACAGGAAGTTCTTCATAACATCGGACATATGAAATGAGCATGAGCCTATTTCCCTAATATACGTTGGAATGTACTAAACATTAATATTCCAGAATTCCTAATGGTGTTATCGGTTAGTCAATGCAATGTACCGATAAAAAAGCTAATTGAGGCGATTGTACGGTACATCCAACAAACATTTGCAGAATGGTGTGTCATGGGAGGTAATATAGGAACTTTTTATAAATTAGTTAAATGCCGGTAATTTATTATCCTTTGATTTTTCAGGAATATTGAGCACCTTATTCACACCTTACGTAGAGATGGTCCTTCAAAGGAGGTTGCAAAAGTCTCGGCAATGTAAAGCAATGAAAATCCCACCTGAGATCTCGTCTTTGTTACCTTCAGATATTTTTCAAGTTTTTGATTTCAAACGTACATATGTTGTGGATCTGAGTCGACACACACGTTCTCGTGGGAAATGGCGCAGTCTTGGTATAGCATGTGGTCATGCTCTTGTTGCAGCACATTATACAAACAACACAGAATTAGCCGATACGGTTCAAATATATTATCGGGGTGATGTGTTTCGCACTACATACCAGACTAGGAATGTGAATGTTGTTCCCCCTCCATCTCAATGGGAAATACCAGAGCCATTGCCGGTCGTTTTAATCCCTATGTAATAGGTTGTTAGATGTTCGTTTAATAGAATAATTTCCATTGTAGATAACACTACCTTATAATCCCTATGTAATACCAGAGGCATTGCTGGTCGCTTTATTCCCTATATAAAATCAACTCCTTCATATTATCAGTAATGTTATGTTTTTTTCCGACATACGATTTTAGTTTGACTATTGTGTTATAGCTTTTGACTACTGTCTAGTCGCATTCGACTAATACTTTACCTGTTGTCTTATCCAATAGTGATTTTTGCTCTCAAACTATTAATATGGAACTAGCATAGAACTTATACGTGATACACTACAACATTCTAAAATTGAAAATGAATTCATCTGACTTCGGTGTTTGGCATTGCGAAGACGAAGACTGTTACGTTTGTTCCGATACAAACCCAATTCCTGAAGGCCCGGATTTCCCACTCCCAGATTACATGTCTGAAGACATTTTCCATGCTATGAAGGCTGCTGAAGAAGCCAAAGAAAGGGACTCTGAAATTAGTCGCAAACTCAACCAACGTACAAACGACATAGCAGATCAAGTAATTGAAAAAGAAAAATGGATTGTTGAAACTAAAAAAAATATCATGGAAGCTAAGAAGTGGATTCGAAATGCAAATACGGAGTTTCAAAAGCTTCAAGCAGAACGGGATCGTCTATTAGATGTTGTTAGAATTAGAGGGGATTTTATCGACCGTGAACAAAACTTGTATCCCAAACAGTTTCCTAATATGTGGAAACGAATTTAACTATGTAATAGGTGGTGAGACGTTCCTTTAACAATGTTATGTTTAATTCTAATTGTAATTTCCTTTACTTTTATGTTATGTTCAATTTTGTTGATTACAAACATAATGTATTTCAAACTTATTACAAACACATTGTCAACTATATTACAAACATAATATATTGAAAAATATATACAAACTCAACATCAAATATATTACATAGACAAAGACAAATATATTACAAACTCAACAACAAATATATTACATAGACAAGGACAAATATATTACAAGCATCATTATTTAAAGGGAATAAAAATTACATCGACAATAAAACAACCATCAAACGGTCTAGGATTTCCTATTCAGCTGGTGGGGAAACTACGTGAATGGTTTGTGTCTGGTAGATGAGCTGATATACATCGGCATGGTAATATACTTGAGCCAAATTAACAATGTCATTCATGTCTGAATCACGTGCTGTTGTGATGGCATGACCACATGCCATACCGAGACTGCTCCATTTTCTACATGAACAAGTATAAGCTTTAAGGTCAATAGCACAAGTTGTTTTAAAATCAAACACTTCATACACATATGTCGGCATGGGAGAGGATATCTGTTGGGGGATATGTGTTGCTTGCCAACGAACAAACTTTTGCATCCTTCTTTGAATCAGCATTTCAACATACAGTGTTAATACACCAGTCATACTCCCTGAAAATTAAATATGGTTACAAAAGGCAACAGTACAACCTATTTAATTCTTTTATATTTCATCCAAAAATATACCTGCAATTATACTTCGTTCAACAAAAGTATTTTGTATGTACTCAGGAATTCCCTCGATAAGCGCTATTATCAGTACATTACAATGATTGCGCGATACTACTGAAAAGTATTGAGGAACTTCCATGTTGAGTACATTCGAATGGATGTTAGGGAAATAGGCTCTTGCCCATTTAGGATGACGGATATTCGTAAGCACTTCACGAGCATCAATGCTTAATCTAGAAAAATTTTGTGCAAAAGTTGACAACATGTAGGATTTTAATCTTATCTAGAACAAAGTTTCCAATGATCTCCCGAAGCCTACTCTTGTGCATAAATAGTTTTGCATGCTGTTACAAGTGTAACCACGATACGAATAACTGAAAACATTATCTTTTTTTTTGAAACGGAAAATTAACTAATCTACTCCTAAATAATCACCTATGTCTCAACCGAGACTTGAACCCTTGACCTCTCAAATGAGATGGTCACTCCATACCGGTAGGCCATTGGCCCTTTGGTCACTGAAAACATTATCTACGCAAGAGCTAACACCATCGTACATATTGGATATGACCGTCATTTCCCTACCCTCTCCGAGACATTCTTTTAAACTCATCAGGAACCAGGTAGAATTTACCACATTATTTTCAACCGCCATACCAAACGCTATAGGGGAAGTCAGATTGTTCCCATCTTTAGCAACAACTACAAACATTGTTTTTAGGTAGTCCCCTTTAAGAGGGACGGTACCTATGTAGAGGACAGGCAAGAAACAATGCACGAATGCATGGACCTGTAATTTTTAATAGTGCACACCAATTACTTTAATGTACAAACATTATCAAATGTAAACACATAAAATGGATTTGG